TAAACCACAGACCGATTGTCTCCACTTTTGGACCTAACGTTTGAATGCCTCCATTTCCTGGCGCCACGAATACCTTCTTGACTTTAGGCGACTGAATGAGTTTCCAGGTTAGGACGTGCTCTCGAGATCCACTCCCAAGAAGTAACACTGTTTCACTCATTTCTTTTGCTAATTATTATTTTTATAAATAATTAACACTTATGAAAGTAAATGAAAACTAATATTCGTTAGTATAGAATCTATACCAAAAATGATTGCATACAATTATTAAACTCTTAATTGTCGTCTTAACATATAATATATATTTATCACAAATATATTATTTGAACAAATTTTGTGAATCTCTTCGAAAACATGAGGATATATATCGAGCTGAAGATAAGGTTAGTTTTTCAGCCTTGAAAGCAATCCTTGAGAACTTCAAAGAACTTGTCGCATATCAGTTCAATCTATTGATGATTTACTCATATCTATAATATGAATTAATAATGTACCTATATACTGGGTCCATCGAATGATCCCTCAAATACAGTCAACTTTATAATACACTAAACTATTCATAAATATTAAAAGGTTTAGTATTAGAAATCAATAACCTTTCAAGTAAACGTATATTAAATAATTTGTTCATTTTGTTTAAAATTATTTAAAACATTGAAAAAAATTTTAATTCATTAATTGACAATAACTTGTTTTTACTTATCTTTTAGTGTTTTTAGGTTTGATAATTGTCTCGAAGCAAAGAAATTCAGTAAACATTAGACTCATTTACGCCATCAAATTTATATTCAACAACCAATAGACAGACTTTAATCAAAGTTATTTCATATAGATTTCATAATTTCTTAAACAGTTACTTATTTAAGGGATATTCCCATTATGAGCAAAGTAATCTCATACAGCATTTAACTTACAGATAATTTTTAAATAAGAATTAAAATGTTTTAGTGAAATTCTGTATTATACATAAATTCATTTACATATTTGGCTGCTTACAGTATTGGAACATACGGTAAAAACAGTATATTCTGATATCTATTAGTAATAGACTATTACGGTATAAGTTATAACTTACTGGTATTATGATACCGTAAATAGTTATACCGTATAAGTTATAATACGGTATAACCAACGTTTTAGTGATTACAGGAAGACCTTAAATGCGTTTAATATTTAAATTAGTTTAATATTAATTTCGTCAATAATAGATCAATTAATTTTTTACTTTTGACACTGCTAATTAAAATGTGAAATAAATAAATAGGAACCTATGATCATTGAACAGTGTTGAACATAACACTGTTTTGAGAATCAACAGTACCAAATTGATATTATCAATTTAGTATTATTACAAATATTCTGTGATTAAATATAGAGTATTAAACAATTTACCCAAATACTTTTCTAGTATTCTTAAACAATCTTTGTATTAGCGCTATTAAATAAAATTTATACATTACTATAATAATTTATGTTTACGGTACAATACTTACCGCAGTAATTTCATTAAAAGACACAGAATCGATACAAGTTATTAAGTAATTTATAAAGAATACTAAATATTTTTTATTTTATTAAATTAATGGCAAATAATTTCTACATATCTTTAAGAGACAATGATTTATATAAAATTATGATAAGAAAACTATTCATTATTCCTAAGAAATGGTATTTTAGATTTGAAAGCGTTGATCCAACTGTCCCTATAATGAGAGATTGTTTTAGTAATTGATAAATGAGTGAATCGGACGATAACTCACTTCTGTTCGTCTTTCATAATGGTATCAAACTCTCCGCTGTCTTTCATTTCTATTTTGACAGAACTCTTGCCATTACTCGTGCGCCCAAAGAACGCCACTTTCATGTGATCCCTACTCAACACATCCCGAATGCCCACCACTTTGTCGATGAAACTGTCCACTCGAGTCAACTGGTCTCGAGTGACCACCTCTTCGTTCACATCTTTCACAAACTGTTGGCATTCAGTGACGAAAGCATTGATGTCGAGAAATATCTCGTTAATTGTCTTTTTGGCCAAAACAAAGACTTTAAGCGGATTATCACTGGACTCCATGTGTTGGCCATTCATTGCTGTCTTCTGTTGCAAACCGTTAGAGACCATCGAAAGCGAGCGATTGATTAGCGAAGACATGGTCTCATTGTCTCGTGTCTCACGTTAGCGGCGGTTCACAAACCAGTCATCGATTGTCACAAGAATTGAATCCAATAAACAAATCGTTGCTTTAATTGACGGCAAAAACACTAATTGTTTACAAAATCAAAGCAAACATCGATCCAAACGTTGGGTCACTTCATGTGATCCAGTCGTCCATCAATGACGTGAAGGCAGACACCACTCGTGTGATCAGCAAAACAGCAAAACATGAAAACATCTGAACATTGAATTGAATCTGAAATCGGATTCATTTGTCGGAAGCGTTGAATCAATCGTTTGAAGCGATGGTAAGGTTTGGTCGGAAGCCTTCGTGGAGTTTCCCGGACTTCAAGTCCAGACTTCCCGACCATTACTACGAGTATCAGAATCGACTGCAACGGCCGTCCACTCGAGTGCACGACATCGCAGCCAAAACTGATTACTTGGATTTGGTTTACAATAAAGACAGACATAAAGTGTAAGCCATCGCACACTCACTCTTCACACATACCATTGATTGCTATCATTATCTGCTTCTGCAGCGAAAGAGTGGCCGACACTCCCATTCCCGTCTTATATCCTCCCGAAGCCGATGTCGGCATTTGGGGCGGAGAGGGGGTAGTGAAGGGATATATCAAACCCCGGAAGTACTTCCAGGCCGGACAGCCGTACGTATGATTGGGAATGTGGTATCAGTTGTGAGCTTATCTGTCAATTGCTGTGTTTGTGGTGCAGTCGACCCTTTTATTGGTTCCCACACCTGAAGAGAGCCGTCTTCTACAGTGAAATATTGGATAAGTATTTCCGAGTGATATGTACGCGAAGAACACTGGAATTGGTTGACAATCACTACGGCTTTGATAGCTATATATTGAGTCCGTTTTTAATACAATTAGTTTTTATATAATCAATTGGATTAACGTTTGGTTCAAATGGTTAGGAACTGAAGTGCAGGACTTGAAGTCACAACTGGCCCTCTCTTTAAGGAGACTAATGTTATTGACTTTAATCCGAAAGAATTTCAAAGATCCTGAACATTGCGAAGAAATGGTCAATAAATATAAGGATTGTCTGATTCCGGTATTGATTGATATATTTATTTGAATTCCTCTATAATATAAGTTCTTCACTCAGGAAGAAGAGGCTGAATGGTTAGGACTTTCAGTGAGAGACGCTATGGTTAAGCAGAAGATAATTGACGCCAAAAACAATAAACCGATTCCTCTGAAGGCGACGCTGACACAGGAACTCATAGAAGAACTCCAGAGTATTTGAATTTGAATTGAATTTTGTTTGTTTGGCAAATAATTGATTGGTTTAAATGTTTGCATTGAATAGAAATGAAAGACAGCGGAGAGTTTGATACCATTATGAAAGACGAACAGAAGTGAGTTATCGTCCGATTCACTCATTTATCAATTACTAAAACAATCTCTCATTATAGGGACAGTTGGATCAAC